AGAGCTGTTACCAACAATACTTAATTACTCATCATGAAGTAGTTGTGATTTGTCAAACCTGAACAGATAATTTCTTTTAGAGCAAGGCTAAAATATGCAGGCAAGCTAAAAAAGAGTCAGCATTCCAGGTTGGATAAAGATAAAATGCAATACTTTAGTTTTTTAAGGGGAGAAAAAAAGCTAGCACGGCTCATAGAATAAAGTATGTCATTGCCACAGTCTAACAATTTATAAAGTAATTCTCCCAAAACGCCCCAAATGCCAGGTTTAAATAGCAGCTCTGGCACTTTGGGCCTTAATAGAAATGCCCCACCATGGTGGAGCCCGAGGCAAAAGTCAAGAGAAGTAACACAGAGACTGCCTTTACTTAAAATCGTGACGTTTTGTTCACCAAAGATGTTTTTGCATTCGTTTCGTATTTTGAAATATTGCATTAAAACATTATCTTGAGGGGCGCCTGAGTGGCTCAGTGGGTTAAGCCTCTGCCCTAGGCTCAGGTCATGATCTCAGGGTCCTGGGATCAAGCAGCATCATAGGGCTCCCTGCTCAGCAAGGAGGGTGCTTCCCCCTCCCCCTCTGCCTGCCTCTCTGCCTACTTGTGATCTCTCTCTGTCAAATAAATAAATAAAATCTAAAAAAAAAAAAAAACACATTATCTTGATTACTGATTCCTTGGCACTCCCTTAAATTCTGCACTCAAGGAGAGCACCATTTGTTACCTCCCTCTGTCCTAGGCCTGCTTAGACTGTCACCTCCCTGACCCTTCATGACCTCACCTGTAAAACCCAGGCAATAACAATCAAGAAGGTTATTGTGAGGACTGAGATAACACGTGTTAAGAACTTGTTCACTGTAAATGTGAACATATAAATACATTTACAAAGCACTCCACAACTCCAAGATAAAGTTATTATATTACACATTCTAGTTAAAGATGTTAGGGTTTATGGAAGGCAGAAGGCCCATGATTGATGACAGAAACTGAATTGGAGGCCTTAGAGGGATCTGTGGTATTTAAGACACACCCATCTCTACCTAACCTTATTTAAATAAAGAAAAAGGTATACAATTGCAGCCCAAGCAAGCAATTTCCTTTCCAGCTTTCATAATTAATCTTCATTTGTGAATTCAGTTTGTCTCCAGATTTTCCCTTTTCAGTTCCTAAAAGCATTCAATTCACTGCAAATGAAAAATTAATTTAAGAAGAAACTGTTTGTTTTCCTTTTACTTTAAAAAGAAAAAAAATTGCAGCTCAAACAACACAGGCTAAAGCCTACAAATAAACGCACTGCACAAGACAATTATTTTTGAAAAAGTTGAGGATGTAAACCTCTGGATTCTAGGTAGGGGAGAACTTTCTAGGCCGAAGGAAGGTGAGATGCCTCCTGTTCTCGTGAACTAATGATTGTTTCCAAGCTGGTTAGAATTCAGTGCTAATTGCATTTTAAAACACCACCTCGAAAATCCTTCCCTCTCTCAGGATCTTACATCAATGTTTTGCATTTTCAGTAAAACCTTTGCACTTCACCTCTCTCGATCAACAAATCCTGAACTTTGCATCAGCGGGAGTTGTTCAGTTCTGATGCTCTCCTTCCCCCGGCAGGTTTGGATGTGCTGGTGGGGCTGTTAGCACCGGGAAGGGCCTTCTTGCCCTGCTTCTGAGGCGAGAGGATTAAAAGAGGTATTTTGGGTGGCTAAACCCAGGCTTGTCCATTCTAACAGAGTCATGAAACAACTTTCTAGTGCCATTCAAAGAACTTATAACAGAATCAATTGATTTTCATCCTCTGCTTTATTAGTTGTGATTTAGGAGCTAGAACGGCCCTGTTTACACAGCTGGAACATGTCAGGACCTGCAGTCCATGATTGGCCGGAGGCCTCCGAGTGGCAGTCCATTCTACACAGAATCAATCTGAACTCGAAAACATTCCCTCTAGGACACCAGCGCGTTTCTACCAGCATAAAGCATTTCTGGTACAAATGAAAATGGTATTCACTTGAGGTTAAGTTGCAAGTTCACCTTCCAAAAATCGGCCCTGACTTGTCATTGCTCTCAGCGTGTTCACAGTGGGAGTGGGGGCCTGCAAATGCCTCTTAACTAGACACCCCGCGCAGGCGAATGTGTTCCCCTTTGGTGCTAGTTGGGTCTCGGGCTCTGCAAGTGGGAGCTGCTGTCTGTTTAATATGCGTTCAGAGCAGTGCCAATCTAAAATGGCTGCTCAGTAATACTTTAATTGCAGTTTCACGGAAACAAATTGCTATTTAACTGCAATAAGCATTTCTGTGACTTGGCTGGACTGACAATAGGTGAGTCTTAGTAACAAAGTGACAAGTAACGTCAACTTGTAAACGCTATGTCTCCCGCGCCCTCCCAAAGGGAGTCTTGGGTGCAGGAGCACCCGGCCTTGAATGCCCTGGTGAAGAGGTCTCCGGACAACCTCTTCTCAATTTAAATGCAATTATTCAGGCCACAGGGAAACTCTTCACTGGCCTTGATCTATAGCTCTTGGACTCACTGTGGTAGAAATATTTTATATAAATAGTAGTACACATTAGAATCTTGCTATATTGACATTTAAATACATTTAAGAGCTTCATTTTAGATGATTAGTTGTTTCAAATATCAGTGTTAATAAGAGCAAAAGAAAGAATTTAAATACAGTTAACGGTAAGAGGATGACAATTTCACAGGCTTCCTTTTGGTGTGACCATTTTCTCATTTTGCATTTTATAAGACACTACAGTCCATGTTAAACTATTTCCTAATAAATCATGAAGAGCTGGAAATAGTTTCTTGTGGCAAACGATTTGGTTTGGAAAAGCTTCTTCTGGGCTCTCCTTTCGGGATGTGTAAATCTAAGTAGACAGGTAAAAAACAAAAAAACATTAAGCCTTTTCGAGGACAATCTTTTTACAAAATCGTTTCATTAGCAAGAGTGATAATTTGCATGACTGAGACATTTCTATGTTATCATAAACATTTTTTTTTTATCAGTTCAGCAGGGCTCAGTAACATTTGCTTTTATTTAATTGCACTTGCTTATAGGGATTGGAGGCCATCTTGGTCTATGACGTGGTTAATATTAAATAAGTCCTTTCAAAAGAATGGAGTACATCTCACTAACATCACAAATGCAATGGATGAAAGGTGAACAAGCCACTGGAGGTTTTTGTTTTTTTTTTTTTCTCCTAAGCAAGGTTGGGGTTGGGGGAGGAACACAATCACCGCTCACATCAGAATAAACCTGAGTGTTTTTTAGGAGCTCTCTATCCACACAGAGCATCCCCATTAGAGCTGGGTTTTATTGTCTGAAATGCCTCTGGTTTCAAGAAAGTGTTTTACCTAAAGCAAGACTACTACTTAAATATGTTCTATTGTATATTCATAGCTCCATTAGTCCTTCTCCAATTTAGCACATCAAAGAGAAGGCTTCATCACTTGCATGTGGATTACACTAACATGAGTGACATTTGTAATCTTATAGGTCTGCAACTTAAGAAATGCTTTTAGAAGCTCGTTATTAAATATGCAGCAGTGCTTGCGGAGTCAGCCATATAATAGTTCATTTAAAGTCTTTAATGACCTGAGCCCTCCACATCACCAAATGCCACACTGTATTACTTACTAAAAGTTATTAACTAGCCCCTTTGAATTTCTGCACTATAGGGGACATGAGTGCTTATGCCAAAAAGAAGAGAGAGGATGCTTGCGTTCTTATTAACACATCTCCCCCCTTTCTGTCCTGAAGAGTCCACATTCCTTTAAAGTATCTTAAAGGAAAAAAAAAAAAAATGTAAGAACCAGAACTCGTTCCTAGAAATTCCCCAAGGATTTAACTCAGATACTGTTATGTCTGTGATTTTGTTCATTTTTTTTCCCCCTTGCATTTTCTTTTCATAAAGCTCTAAAGAACTCTTCACTTTAACTCTCTACCTTTCAATTCTCCTACAGGAGGTTCATAGTTTTGAGCAACTGATTTTTTCCTCCCAGAGTGGAGTCTCTGAGAGAAGATCCCAAACGGAAGCTGACTGCTGGTTGAGATGAACAGAACTAGACCTCTCTATATAACCTGTTCTGAGACGTCTAATTGGGAGCTTTTCTGGAACAAGAGAAAATAAAACAAATGCCATTTTTAGAAAGGATATTTCAAGTGGCGTTATACACACACACCTGGTTTTCGGAACCTGTGATCGAAGTTGTAGTTCAAAGTTGCTCCCGAGCCTGGCAGTGCAGCTTCTTTGGTTCTCTCCTCCTTCTAACACTGGCCCTGTCCCCCCACACCCCCAAATCCTTGACCTACACATGCTTTCCACAGGAGACCACTGCACACAACGCATGCACTGTTGGGGATACACTGCAGCCCAGAACTAGCCACTGAATCTCTCAAGATGACTACGAAGTGAAAGCCAAATCCTACCCCAAACATATGGAAAGGCAGAGCCCGCAGAGGAGTAGAAGAGCAAAACAAAATAAACAAATCACACAGCCGACCATAGGAGTCTAGCAGCTCACCAGGAAATGGCTGCTTCACCCCCTGAAGACGCCTGTAGACATCTGAAGAGCTCTGGGTCCCTAACGACTAAAGACACTTCCCAGTATGTACAGGTATGTCACAGTCTTGAGCATGCTTTTCATCCATACCCAAGGCTTTCCTACCGAGGAAGAAAGAACGTGAAAGCTGAAGAATCAAACAAGTATTTATATATAAACACAAAAGATTCACTGTGATATAGAAGTGTAATGAAGAGCTTAAGTTACCAGAATGTTCTGAACTTATAAAAAGGACTCCGTTAGAAACATTGCTTTGTAGCCATGCCAAAAACGGCATGGTTAAGTAATCCGAAGAAAACCTTATTGGCCCAGAGCTAAATAAATATACACACCACCTCCCTCGACCCCTAAGATTTGAAGTGAAGTTGGTACCAAACAAAAAAACTACTGAATTTTTTCCGATACAGAGGAGAAAAAGCAGTGTTTAAATCCGAACTCCAATGAGTATTTTTTTCTTTTAAGTTTTTATTATTTAAATACACCATACTAGAGCAAATGTCTCTGAAAATATCACAAATAAAAGATTTTTTTTCTTCATTCAGCAAATTAGAAGTAGGGGGAAATTTCTACACAGTTAGCTGCTATGAGCCTGATTTTTTTTTTCCAATTTTTTTTTCTTTTTTTTCGTTCCTTTTTTTTTTTTTTCCTTTGCCATGGAAGTAGCAACATCAGGACAAAAACACTTACATGCATACATACATTGTATTTTACAGAGATACAATAAAAGTGTTTGTGATAGAATATCACAAAAGCCACATCTCTTTCCTTTTATCTCATGTTCAGTTTTGATTGAAACACATTTCCTTACAACACTTAAATATACAAAGAGCAAATAGAATGTTGTTAAGGTAAAACACAGGGTACAAACTCTGGCCAGTGCCCTGCTAATTGTTAATGAGGGTAGAAAGCAGATTTGAATGCTTCTTTTAATTAGCTTCATTAGTCATTTCCCTCCTCCCCAGCTCCCTCCCCCCCCCAAAGATGTCCTCCGGTGGATCTTTTTTCATTTTCTCTACAGTCTCCCATTAGCCCAGGTTCATGGAGTCCTTAATGTTCATATTCAGTCATTTTAATACACCAATAAATGCGGGAAGGGCAATCAAGACTAAAGAAGGTGCAATGCACAGAGCTGGCACTGGTGGCTAGCTACAAAGGTGACTTGTCTACTGAAGACGCATGGGATCCACCTGTGATGAACGAAATCTGAGATGAAGGCACGCATTCTGCATTACTCTGACCTTTTAGCAGACCTGCAAGAAATAAAAACGGGCATCTTAGCTAAAATGCTAAATTTGAGATATTAAACTCAAACATGACTGCTTTTGTCTCCTTCTACGTTCACTAATCTTCTTTTATTAGATTACTTTCCAACTGTGACTTGATGGAGGCTTTCTACGCTACTTACTCCGGCAGCGAAGAACTAAAGCATAACGTTTTCTGCGGTTTTACTAGCAGAGAAAATGAGACAATAAATGGACTTTCGGAAAGTTTCTGGTGGAAAGTTCTACGACGAACTGCTTTAACTCCCTTAAAAGCAAGTTTTTTTCTGAAGACGGTGAATTACATCTTGCCTAGCAGGGGTACCTTCAATGCACATTCAGAGCTGAGCGCCCCGCAAGGACATTTTGGCTTACTTTGCTCAACTGCGTGACCTCTGGCAAAGTTACTCTGTGTCTCAGTTTCCTCATCTCTAAAGTGGGGGATAATTAGGCTGTTATAAGGATTACATAATACACACAGAGCACCTTCAACAGTGCCTGGCAGGTAATAAAAGCTAAGCAAATACTGGCAGTGATCATTCTGATCTCCCCATATGACATCTATTCACCCATTTCCTTCTCAACCTAAAGGGATGTGTCTGAATTCATGTGTGTGTGTGTTTACACACATACATACACACATATATATCGTACACACACACACATATATATACACACACACACATATATATACGTACACACCCACATACATACAAATACTCAGATACTACTTTTTACTTAGTATTTCGTATCTGCTAGGTCACTTAATATTATATAAATATTGTAAATATATGAATCAAACATATGTAATATGTTAATGACTTGTGCTCAATTAAAGAACAGAGTTCAAGGGAAGTCTAACTTTCATGTCTAAGTTAGAAATGATAACCCGCACAGTCGTCAAATACAATCTGTTTGCAATTACCAAAATGAAATAATATATATTAGGTTTTTATGGTTTTTAAATGACATTTTGAGCTTCCCAGGAAGTTCTCGGTTCACCCTTTCCCTAACTTACTAAAAGCCTGAAGTCTATTAGGAACTGCAACCCCCCACTTCCAAGCTAATTAAAGTGGTGGAGGCTTAATTCCCCAGAGTGGAAGCTCAGTGTGAGAAAGGTAATTTGTCTGTCCAGAACAAAGATGCGGCGGCAGCCAGCGAGCATATTTAATAAATGAGCATCAAATGTCCTCTACGATGGACACACACAGCACCAATTATGTAACTACGGGGGAACGGTGGAGTGATATGTAAACTAGAACACTTGCTAACATCTCCTCCAACCAAAGAGATGTGAGCTCTTATTTTACTGAAAAGTGCCGAGAATTCTAGATAGAATAGCCACTCTTGAGTGGAAAAAAGAATTCCAGAGCAGGCAAAGACGAGGGAGGAAAAGAAATTAGCCACAATTCCTCATTGTATTTACGTTAACTCTCTAGAAGGCAATATTCTCCTGAGGATGGTCCAGCCTCCTTTAAATGACACAGGCTGTAAAATTTTGTAGATTCTTGAACACCTGTGATCTGAGATTTCACTCAAGATACTCCAGGATTTATACACTCAAAAATTATTTTTTCTCAGAATATACCAAAGCCAATGATGCGAACAACAGCTAAACCGCACATCCCAGACACTGGCAACAAATTTCAGGAGAACGAAAGTTTAAAGGGACCCCATGATGGGGACCTATACTTTCTATACAATTAGCTACCTTTAGAGAAGGGGTGTACAAACAACCACCTCATTACTTTAAAGCCAGAGGACACCTGGCGATATTTTTTATCCATCACACACTAAAAACGTAACTGGTTCGGTGAATAGAAGGAAAAGGGCCAAAATCGATGTCCAATTTTCCCTACCAAAAACATTGAGACCAAGGAGAGTGAAGAAAATAATAAAGTGGGGCGGTTTGTCATTTCTTCCCATCTCATCTCCTTCAGAAAAGAAACACCACAGGGTTTTGGGAAAATAATTGTAAAGCATTCTCGAGGTCCAAAAAAGCAGCTTACGTTCCACCAGGAAGTGTGTTTTCATTACCTCTTCCTTCCCCCTTGCCCTCTCATTAATATCTCTCTGGACCACGTTCGGCTTGCCCAAAACCTTTATTGACAAAAACCACCTTGTCAATTGACTGAGCTCGTGGTGAGCGGAGCACTAAGGGCAAATATGTGAGACATTTATGCCAACGGGGAAATGTTCTTAATTAACATCACCCCCAAAACACAGCTTCTTACCAATGTCTGGCAAGAACATATCCTTAAGTTATACTTCCCTCTGCCTTTTAAGAGCTATTAATTTTTGAAGGCCACCTTCAAAAATTTTGTCTATTTTTGGCTTCCAACACTAAGGAAGGATATACAGGTTGACTCTTTCTGGTTGCCTACTACTTTCTGTGCTCCAAATGGAACATCCTCTCCCACCCTGAAAAAGGTGTGCAGAACAGTAGACCATCTGAAAGGCACAACACACGCAATCTTATAAAGCATGCAAACCAGATGTTTCTGCAGCTTTCCTCCCTGAAACCTCTCCACTACGTCATCTTGTACCCAAGGAGACAGTACTGGGAGACCCAGCACCCATTCGGTACGTGCCCTTTGCGCTTAGTCCCAAGCGAACGTGGCTGGTGCCTGTGTGCAGTATTGCACAGTTGACTACGTTTTCCATCTTGTCTCCACATCCCTGAATCCTCATGCTGCACGGTGGTGAGCTGCGACAATCATTTCTTACACTTTGTCAAGTCAGGGAAAGAAATGGTATAAAACCAGCAACAAACCTGAAGATCTAATTTGCAAAAAACTAAGCTTTTACATGGGAAGAGATGGGGAAGAGATGAACCATTTTATTCCTAGCATCTTTTCTTGCCTTTTTGTTTTGGGTTTTTTTGCTCCCAAATGTAACTGCAAATGGCTTTGCCTCTAAATGGGAATGGTTATCTCAAAATATTTATGTTACCTATCCATTGTTCTCAACTCTGCCCTATAGATTCACTTCATTACAATTCAAATCTTACCATAAAAATCTTGAGTATTTATATGTACTGCCATTCCTTAACGAAGCTTGAAATGTCTCACTGATGGTGACTGGTTAAGTTGCAATAAAAAATTAGACTTCTGTTCTTAAGATGGTAGGCTAGGTAGCTTCCTATATTAGTAAATTAAACAAAGAAAAGTGTGCCTATTTTGATAGAATTGACATTTACTTAATAAAGAAACGGAAAATACATTTAAACTCATGGCATAAATTTGAGTAAGGGAAAATGATAAAAATCAGCATTAAAATGTGGCAGTATAATTTTAAATGGTTAAAAGTTTTCAAATATTAGTCATTTTCCCCCCACACGGCATTAAGAAAATGCACTGCAGAAGACAAAGAAGCCTAGTATTTTTTCCTGAGACTTTTGAAGCTTGCTAAATTCCTATTTGCAGATAAATGTTGTTTTTTTTTTTTTTTGTGATCCTTACAACAGACATTAATGAAGTTCCTATTGTAAATCCATAAAGAATTACCAAGTGAAGTGTGCACTTTTTGTTTCAATGCAATAACTCAGTGCTGTGTGATTGCCTGGGTTAATGATGAAAAAGTCAAACATACTATCAGAGCTGATGGAAAAATCTATCACCAATCTGAAATTAAAATTCATCTGTGGTCAATAAGATTTAATATCCATGCAAGTGGCGCCGTAAAGAGTAAATGAATCAATGTCATCAATACATAATCAGTATGAAATATGATGTGAATAAAATTATGTGCACGAGTCATACATTTCACTCTTTTCTGGGCCAGTGTAGAATGAACAGTCTCTTAACTGAAGGTTGACAGTAATTGTTACAAATTAGGCACAGCAGTTATCAAAATGCACTCACTTGCATAGCTATAGGACTTATTAAGGAGATTAAAATAGATCTAAAACTATCCAGTACTGGGGTTGGGGGGGGGGCTGGACAACTGTTGATCGCCATTCTTCCTCTGAAGTGATCTGAACAACTGTATAAAATTTCCTCACTTTTAACTCTGGTCCAAAAACTTTCCAGTTGTGGATCAAGACCGGAGATACGTAATCTTCAAAGAAGCGATTCGTGGCCCAAAGTGATTTGCCAAGACCTAGAACTTTGTCTTAGAAGTCATAACTTAATTCCAGTCTGCAAGACTATATATACGCCAATCAACAAAAATGCCGTCCTCTGGAATTACAGAATGTTTGTAAAACTCTTCTCAAAATAAAAGCATAGTAAACCGGGTTTGGGAGGCAGGGGTCTAAACTGCTATGACCAATACAGAAATCATTATTTTCTTGACAAAGACATTTATTCCCTTTTTCTACCATACATACTCTAATTTGCCTCCCGCAATCACCTATTCACATCGTTACTTCTGAATTTCCAAACTGGCAAGAGGGAGAAACAGCCGGTGATATGAAGTTATATGCTTTGACTTTGCATGTGGCAATCCTCTCCTCAACGCTGGGGAAGCTACACGTAGAACTACCTCAGGATCTTTTCTGAATTACAAAAGACTCACAATTTAATCAGTCCACACTACTACTTCTGAACCCTGTACGTACGCATCGTCTACATTACTTTATAAAAGGGCACCCGAAAACACAACCACCCAGGAAAACTCCCTTGAAGGCTGAACCTTCCAACTCGCCCTAATAAAGCTTATTAGCAGCTGCTAGGTATTCACCTTCTGGTCTGGCAGTAGTGGATTGCTCTGAAGTGAATTCAAATGGCCATTGATGAGAGCTGTGGGTCTATCATGTTCACAAAATAAACTGCCATTGATGTAGTGAAACCGATCTCCTGGGACCAGGCGATTCCGGCAGGTAGAGCATGTAAAACACTGAAAGGGAAAAGCAAACCCACTGAAAACAGGTACAAATTAAGTCTTTTTTTTTTTTTTTTGTCACAAGTTTATCAAGTGTTCGTAAGCGAGTATCTGTCAAGTACGGAGCCACTTAGGGTCTGGTATTTTTCTTCCCTCCACAGGATTCCGGAAAACAGTAAAGCCCAAACACAATCAACTGCATCAGGCTAAAAAGGGGGAAAGAAACCGGTACTGGTCTGCTTCTGTGGTGTGGGGTATATGGGGGGGAAGATGGCAAGGGGGGGGGTGGCGAGTAAGGGACTAATCACAGCCAAGCTACAACTTCGATAGATGCGTTTAGTGTCTATGGCTTGAGGAGACTGAGTTTAAGGAGAAATGCTTTGTCCCCAAGTAGGAAAGGGGATTCTTTTTTAAAAAGACAGGAGGAGCACATGCTACCTTAAGATGATACACATTGCCTTGGGCTCTCATGACGAGTTCACTCGCAGGGATCGACTGTCCACAAGCACTGCAAGCACCGCTATTCCCAAATAACCTGCAACAGAGATGACAGGGGACACCAGTGAGTAACCCTGACCCGAAGAAAAAGAGAGAAGAAATCCCCCCCAGCCTCTGGCCCTCCCTTGGGAACGCAGCGGATGGGAGGCTGAATTCGGACTCGGGCCTCAAATTTTACAAGCCATTTACATAACCCGGGAAAAATCCTTTCAGGGGTCACGACTAACTTCTGCCTACCGCAGAGGAAGACGGTGCCCCGGATTTAATCAAAATATTGACTTCCACCTCCCGCAAATACAAAACCATTCTGTTCTCCACACATTTTATCAGATTACTGGGTTCATCATAAAAAAAGAAAGATACAATTCATGACTGGAGTTTAAATGCATTGTGTCCTTGAAATTATATGAAGAACTCTTTTGTACTTTAATCATATCTTGAGATATGAGTCATCAAAAGGGTTAAGAGGATTTGATTGTATATCTAAGAAGACATCATGCTCAGTGTATTGAAACTCCCGTAAACCTCCATCAGTGCAGACTTTCCATTAGAAACTCTCTGCTATCCAGGTTGATATATAATGTGTATGGGTTAACCTTTTCAATCATGGTGTCAACACTTAAGATTTGCCTCTGCTCATCTCTTTCATCCTAACCTTCTCTCTCTCTTGATAATGAAATGCTTGCTCCAACTTCCCTCTATCTGCTCCTGAGTCCACAATTTAGATTACTTCATCTCTGCTAGCAACAAACTGAATGAAATTTCGATTTGAGCAGAAAGTAATTTACCGGGATCTGGACCCATTTGTCATCATATCTCTCTGGGTGTTTGCTGTATCACTGCAGTTTTCCTATGCAATCAAATGAGACCACAACATCTGCCATAGGGGGAGGAGGGGGGGAAAGGAGAAGGCTGCAGAGGAGGGGAAAGCTCAAGGAAGTGTGGTGTGCTGAAGAAAAAGATATACATAATTCCTAATACCCTTCCACGGCACAACAAAATATTTTAATGAATACCGAACTTTGGCTTTTATGGAGTCTGTAGACTCAAGCTGGGAAGCTTTATTTGCTTTTGGGCTTCCCTTTTTAATATCCACAAATATTTATTAAACAGACCAACATGATTTCACATTGAAAGGTGATATTGGAACAAGTCAGCAGGGTCAGAGAAGCACTTTTCCACAATGAAGAACAAAGTAATAGGACTTACAAATTAACATATTAGTGTCATAATAAATATTAATATTTGCATTTCCTCCTTGTCCAAATAAAGTCGTAAAATGCAGTTGGTGTCAAACAAGGAGACATGTTCCTATAGAACACCCCGTAATCTGAATGATTGCGGCATCCCTCTATATAAAAATAATTGCTTTGTGTTTTCAGAATCTGGTCTTGCAGAAGAGGCTCGTCATGTTCAAACTACTAATTTGCTGTCGCCACTTTATTGAAAATAGCCTGTAAGTTGTTATTAAATGTATCGACTGAACGACAGGGAGAGTAGTAAAACTGCCCCTTAAGATGGCTTTTAATAGGAAGCCCGAGAAACAAATTTTGCAGCAGCATCGATTTGAAGAGTTCAATCAAAACTCCATTTCAAAACTAATTAGTCTGAGATCCACGACACATTGACACGTTCTTGCAGAATCAGAACAGTTACGGAGAGAAAGCTGAAATAATACACTGCCAGGACCTCTAGCCGCAGGACCACACCATGTGGGAGCTCGGGGCCGCTGGCCTGCCATCTCCTCCTAATGCTGGACCACTTCAGGAACACTGATGGGGGACCTCCTGGTGACTCACCTCCGGGGCACCTTTCTAGTGTGGGTTGTCATTGCTGCCTTGCGGGGGTAGGGGAGGGGGGAGGTTCTCAGAAGGGCAGGACACTGCTGGAGAATTAGGACAGCCATGGGCAAAGAGCTTATAGTCAACAGCAGGGCTCTTCCAATCCCCAAGAGGAATACCAAATTCAAACAATGGGAGTAAAAATAAAGTTAAAAACATGTCGATGTGGCTGAATACATGCTGAGGATAAAGGTAGGGAGGGTGTAGATAATGGGGATGGGGAACAGAATCCTACTAGAGGTAAGGACCAAATATCCTCTAACAGCAACCCAGAAGTATTTTAATGGATCCGAGTCTGTAATTATGGCTGCTACTACCAACAGGTACACTGTGACACTCCGTCTCAAAAAATACCCTTTCACAGTACCGATCTGATTACCCAGCCTAAGTGTTCATTTATTTAACAATTCACCCTGAGTAAAGTCAGTTGTATGTCTTCAGCATCTAAGTGTATTTTAATAATCAGGGCAGGAGTATATAATCCAAAAGCTTTTCATACATCCTGTTTTCTCCAGTGCCACTTTTATAACCTTTCAGGGAACAATCAGCCACAAAATCGTGGGATTCCTAAAGTGTCAGAAATTATAGTCACAAAGTTTGAAAATGACCACGATCTACCCCGGACTGATGTGCTATTGAACAACATTATTAATGGGGTTTAAGATCTTTCCACATCTACAGCTTTCAGGCTGCCTCAGAGCAGGAACAACTTACGTGTCTATACACATTTTAATCCCCTTTTACCACAGATGTGAAGGTTACCATTAGAATTCCACCCTTTTTCTGAAAAGTTGTTTTTTCTTTCTTTTCTTTTCTTTTTTTTTTAAACAATGTTTCTGTGCGCTGGAGAGTTAATTATCTAACCAGGGGGACTGTCCAGGACAGTGTTTGATTTAAAAGGCTTGAGGCTTTAGGTGCTCAATTAAGTAGCTATCGGTCTCAGACTGGACTATAATGGGCTCTTTTCTCTTTAACTCAAGCAACGGGGAGATATACCCCAGGTCAGGCTAATTAAAGCCAGGGGAGTCTTTAATTGTGATGACAGAATCGGTTTCAGTTTCCTTTCTTTGGGTCCTCAGTCCAAGAAGGTCGTTAATATTTCAGCATTTGGGCAATGCAATCAATCACAAACATCAAGAGGTTCCTTATATGGGGAAAAGGGAAAAGAAGGGAAGAAATCCCACCAAACCCCTGCACTCTAAAGGTGCTTTGCTCCTATATGAAAAACACCATGTAGTGTTATAGTACTGCTCTCGCAAGCTCTGCTCCAACTCTCCTTGCTGACATAAAGAGATGGACAGCAAGTCATATTTTTAGTTTAGTAACAATGCTTAGCATCTTTTAGTAACTTCAATGACCAATAGGTGGGCTTATTTTCAAATGCATTATTACCTCAAGCCAAATACGCACGATATGGTGCACTACCTGTTTTCTAAACTGCTTTTAGGCAAGGAGAGGTACGTTTCTAAAAGTATGGCTGAAAGGTATACATTTGTACCTGCAAGTAAATATCAGCATCCTATCTGAGGAGAAAAATGCACATCCACAGCTACTGATCCAGAAGCAATTGGTTTTCCAGCAGGTTCCTATATTTAATCTAAATTCTGCACCAGCTATATTAAATGTAACAAAGAAATGCAACCCAGAAATTATGCCTGGAGCCAAGTCCATTAAAGGTACTTCGGAATAACTAGAGACCAAGCACCTTAAAAGCACCAGAAGCTATTGATACTTAAGAGGGGGCTGTGAATAATCGCAATGGCTGCGTTAGAGGGGAGGGAGAAAAAAAAAATCAGCCAAATTACGCTTGGTTAATTCAGAGTAACAGATCTGCCCCCAAGTGAATTGGAGGCCTTGAATTAATTCTGTTATGACAAATCAAGATAAACGTTCCCCCTAAATTGCATGCGATTTAATTAATTTTTGAGATCCTGGGTTTTTTTTTTTTTTTCCTAGCTAATAGTTCACATGCTCCTGTGCTGTCATTGTGCTTGAGTGGGCAGACTTCAAAGTGATATTAAATAACCAACTATTAGATTTACCTAGCACGTCCTATTGGAAAAGTGCCATTTAATTACCTAGCCTGTTCAATTAAAGGGACAGCATTCTCTGAATATAGCAGCTTGCTGTTGATTACCAGGGAAATGAACTCGCTGTCTGGCGGCGTCTCCGTTCCTAACGCTACCCCCTCCCCAAACACACCCTCCACCACCAACCACCACTGGTCCCCCCCGCCCGGGACCCCCCACCCCCGGCCGCGCGGCGCTCACTGCGGCTGCGGGCGCCACGTGAACGCCGAGCGAAGCCCGGGGAAAGAAAAGAGCGAAGGCTCGCGCGGCTCCCGCCCTGCGCTCGCCCCCTCGCGGGCCCGAGGCCGCCCGCCGGTAGGACGCCTCAAACGCAGCCTCGGGCGGCGCCGTCCCGGCCCTCCCCCGGCCCCGGCCGGGGCCCAAGCAAGAGAGAGCTCGCGGAGGACCGCCACCCGGGCTTCCGGTGCGCTTCCTCGCCCTCCCCGGACCTGGGGCCCCACCCGTCGGTCTCCGAACTTCCTCCTCTCGCAGCACTTTACGCGCTAGTCTTCGGGCCAGAGATGGGGGTGGAGGAAGAAGGGTTCGAGGAAAAGAGAAACGGAGTTTCGAAAGCTACTTGGTGGCGCTTGGATAGAGCTGGGGGGCGGAGGGGTGTCAGAAGCTGGGGGTAGGGGGAGAGGGGACAGTTGCAAGGTTCGCCGACTTTTGGAGCGGGGGTGGGCAGGCGTTGGCCCCTTTAAGATCCACCCTCCCTCTTCCCCTCCACAGCACCCCCCCCCAGTCTTTCCCTCCCTCTCTTAGAGGCCAATTTTGTTAATTAAATGTTTTGTTTGCGACGCAGCTCTCATTCATTGCGGACACGTCATTCGGAGCAGATCTAAGCCAGAGACCAGATCTCATTAGATAAAGCCCATCAGAACCAAGAAAATGGAGGAGCCACTAATTAAAGCTTTTAATTGTGCGGATTCGCTGCGGCAAGGCAGCCGCTTTATCTGAAATCTTGGAGGGAGAGGAGGCAGAGGACCACTTCTGCCCAATCGACACTGGGTCACGCAGGGGGAAGGGACTAGGGAAAAGCAGTACCCCCACACACACCACCACCACCTCCGGGCCCTGCTTTCCCCGCAGCTTTAGCCGTATCTTGGTAGTTTCAAAAGATCACGCCTCAAAGGCAGTTTAAACCCCCTTAATAGATCGCTCTGTGGTCACAATCGAGTGGAGGAGCCCGAGGATCCCCTTCACCTGGTGTCTGGGAAGCGGATTACTCCGCTCTAAGGTGGCCAACCTTGCAGAATTCGAAGCTCCTCCAACAAGTGGACTGGGGAGGGAGTAGCTGAGAGGAAAAGGATAGCGCACCTCCTCACCTTCCCACCCTTCTGGCATCTTGATGGGCAGAGGGAGGGAACTCTGAAGAAGACTTCAGAGATTCCTCAGCCTGGGGATGGGGTCGGCGGAGGGGGGGCGGGGGTTTCAGCAGCTGAAGAGCCCTAAGCAGAGTGGGAGGCCATGGTCAATTTGGTACTGAGCTAGAACTCCTCTCTCCCAGGAGAGATCTAAGGTTCTCAGGATAGCATCTAGTTCAAGAGCAAGCCCGGCTCCAGTTTTCAAAATCAGAGGGAAAAAGAAAGTGAGAATACAGACCCAATTAATTAAGGCGCAGGGCTGGGCGCACAACCTCCATTGCTCCATTAAGCCAGCTGAAAACACCAAATGGACATTTATATTTGGTCCCAAGAACAGGGAAAGAAGGCGATTCCCAGAAAGCCACTTGCCTAAACTTGTCTTGAGGGAATGCAAGTGGACCCATCTTCTTTTTAATTAGTGGTAATCAGAAGCGAAGGCTTTCTGAATGCACTTGGAGACGAGGTGAATGTACTATTCACCGCATCTGAACAGCACTGTCAATTTTTGCACTTTAAGCTACCCTGCCTTCTTACCAGTTTTGCTCTCTATTTAATTGCAATACTGTCAAAGCTCATGGCATTGCTTGGAAGGAGGACCAGAAAGCATTACACCCATGCTCCTGCTGATTTTCCAACATTTACTTCTAAAAGAACACTTAGTGAAATTAATGCTGCCATCTTAATTTAAAAATAAAAGCCCTCTCCCTTCCTATATTTCTTTTACTTGGCTGATTGAGGATGGCAGTAGAGTGGACACAGGTTGCATTATCGGAATAACCAAATATCATTTTACTCCATCATTTTAGATTAATGATATTACTGGGGTAAACATACACAGCTCAGAACTGTACTGGGATATTTTGCACTTTTAGATGCAGAGTTGAGGGAACCACAATGGAACTAAATAAACTTTGTACAAAATACCTCAGCCATTGATTCACCCACTTGAAGAGAGCAACATTTTCTACTAATATTCTATAAAGAAAACGGTTTAGGACAGAAATTTAACTAGAATGCAATTCTTCGTAAAAGTGAGCGGTTCTCTAGTATCAGCGGTTCTCTCATATCAACGGTGTGCATGTGGGTTTTTTGTTTTTTGTTTTTTTTTTTAATTACTGGATGTTGAAACAGAACACCTCCTAAAAGCATTCATGTGCATCAGTCTATCAAGCCATTTACTCAAATTAAATGTGTAATCCTTCAAATGCCTCCTTTCAAATTAATGAGTTTAAGTAGCTTGAGTTCACCTGAAAAGATCCTATAGGCACCTGACCTCCTGAATTCTTTCCATTAATTGCACTGAAACTTGTTGGAAAAGACTGCTTACAGGGGCATATGAATGTTCCTATACATTGCTTTAAAATGCAAGATTAGTATAATTCTATAGCCTCTTTTCCTAAATCTTTATTGGGGATCCCGGGTAGGGATACAAACAACAACAACAACAAAACCCCCAAATCTGAACTCTCCTCAATTGAAAAACCTGCAAACTCTACATCACAAACCACACACTAACACTGAGCATTACAAGCCTCCAAGTAACAGTATACAAAGAAAAACACTACCACTAAGAGTTTTTTGTTTTGTTGCGGGGTGGGGAGAGAAAGGGGGAGTTTACTATGAGAAGAATTACAAGTTTTTAAACTGATGGGTAATCAGCATTTTTCACAAGGAGCACGAAGAATGAATCACAGTTTTCCACTCAAAAAACTTTAAAAGTGCTTATGTAAATATAATTAGCCATCACCAAAGGCAAATCATTTCTCACTAACTACACTCATTCATAAGGCCATCTTTTGTCTCTTGAGTTTCTATGTAGGTCCCTACCCTTCTTTAAGGTAGCAGCCTAACTCCCACTTTTTAGCTGAGGGTCCTGTTGGGGTAGACTCCTTAAAATTTTGGTCAGTAGAGCGCCCAACCTTGGCACACCTAACAGCCCAGTCCCATCAGATGGATAGTTTTTACTTAGCATGGCTTCTGCGGTGAATTTACTATTAAAAATTGAGAGATCAACACATGCTTCTCGAACCCCTTAAATCGGACCAACCAGGTTTTCGAGGGGAAGGTTACAACGTTTCCTCAGAGGTTCCCTGTTCCTTTCTTTAAAATCTTTGGTAACCTTTGGCCTTGCCATTGCTCCGCTCACCCATCTCAAGGAAAGCAGCCAAGTCTTACCTAATGTAGTCATTTCTGCAAAGGATCATGCCGCTCTTGGTGTAACAGGACGTGCCGATGTCGCCCAGCTGCGCCTGGCAGCAGGAGCACTTGAGGCACCGGCTGTGCCAGTAGCTGTCCATGGCATAGAGCAGAAAGCGGTCCGCAATCTTGCCCCCGCAGCCTGCGCACCGCTTCCAGGAGAGGGAGCCGGCCGTCACGGGGGGCGGCTGTGAGCTGCTGCCCGGATTCACCATGGTCTGCAGAGGGCGGGAAGGGGACAGGGAGAGAAAGACAAAACAGGGGCGATGCAAAAGTTAGCAGCAATCGCCGCGCGCGAGAGCGAAGCCGTGCTCCCCCCACCCTACCCCCCAGAGCTGCTGGAAGGAAGCAGCAGGGCCAAGGCGCGCAGGAGGGTGAGGGGGAGAGGGAAGGAGGGAGGAGAGCCGGCAGCAGCCGCCTGTTTACTTTTCTCAAGCTTTGTTCTGGGGCCACGAGCTCCTCTCAACTTTCCAGAGCTCGCCGCTGCTGACAATTTCAGCTTGGGTACTGTCAAAACTCCGAGAGCGAGGCTCGGCGGCGCGCTCCACCCCTCGCGGCGCCTCCTCCCAGCCCCCGCCTCCGCCCACTGCCCCCTCCTCCCTCCTTCGCCGCCCGCCTCCAGCAAATGAGGGTCAAACCCACCCACCGCCGCGCCCGGCCCCTCCCAGGCCCCCGCCGAGCCCCGAGAGCTAGCCGAGGGGAGCGGGGAGGCGGCCCCCGCCAGAGCCACGTTCCCTCCCGAGCTCTGCCCTGGGAAGTGCAGCTGCAGTTCACAAGTTGGAAATAGTTCGGTTTTCTGAAAGGGAGGGAGGGAGGAACCGGCAGAGGGGTGAGGGAGAGCGTGGTGGTGGGAGGGGAGGCTAGGGGACGCGAGGGAGGGGGTGCGGTGCGTAAAGTTGCGAAACTGGTTTTTCGTATTTTAAACAGCACCTTTCACATGCCATTGTGGTGACCGCCATCTCCCATTATTGTTCTAAATCTCATTTCATTTTGAAGATCAATGAGTGTTTTCTCTGGGTTTTCAGGACACAGGCAAGAATAATAGATCATTGAACTTTAGGATGCCTGTTAACTTCCTATACAAACACTCTCCACTTTGGTCTCACTAATCTGCCCTTGATCAGCAATTTAAATGCTAAAGCTTTGTTCCTCCGAAGGGGGAGGGGGGTTACAGATAATATGCGAGAAGGCACTATTAAAGGATGCACAAGTTATATTCGAACCAGTCCTGCTGTCACCAAAAACTGCTTTTAAAAATTCCCCACTCTTTCTAATGAATGTCACGAGAAGCAACTGGGGTATAATATAGGAATCAATTTATAAAGCTTAGCCTAAACCGATTAATTTGTTGCCTCCAATCCTGAGTCCAATAAAGTCCTAGTGTTGCTCCAGTCACTTATTCTATAAAAAGATCAAGTTATTTACTGCCAATTAAGCAGCCTGTTTTGTCTTTGTCCTCTGTAAGCCGAGAGTGTAGGCTCCCCCCGAGGCTCCCGGCTATCTGCTCAAGACATTCAGCTGATACCTCAGAAGGGAGAGGGCGAACTTTGCCTGTCCCCGGCCCAACTTGGCTGCTGCAAAAAAACCAGGGGAAGGGAACGAAACAAGGACTCGGGTTCCTTAAATAGGCCGGTTTTAAACACATTTCCTCCGAAAGAGTCCCGGAACGTGTGTCCAGTGACCGCACAATAAACCAGAATAAGAACTGCACCAATTAAGCTGTAACAAAACCCTGAGACTTTGGAAACAGGACCACTCTAAAACCCATTAGCATTGCATTTATCCGAATGCATCATACCTTTATGTAAATTGATTTATCTGATGCATTTACTCGAGGAATTGCTTTTTGTTACAATTTCAGCCCTAACCCAAATGAATCTGCATTTCCTGCCCGAGGTCTTTAAACTGTTTCCCCCAACGTTTTAATCGCTCCGAATTCCTTTTTAAAAGGGGAGAGGGAGGGAGGAGATTCCAAGCTCTTCCCCGCCCCCATCTTTGGTGAGAGGTAAATATATATGTATATTTTTTTGAAAAGGAAACATTACACTGAGAAAAGCATCCAGTAACCCCATTAGCTAAAGCTCTTAAGGACAAGCAATACCTTAATGCTGATTAAATCTAAAAGAGATGAATCAAGAGGACTGACCAGAAACTGACTCCCCTGATAACTAAGGACGGGCCCTCATCAAGTTTCATTTAGAGTTGGAAAAAAAAGAAAGCTTTTAAGTTAAATAGGCTTATACTCTAGTAATTACATAGCCAAGCAATTTAGGTCCTGGGATAGTCAGTGAAATAGAAAGCAGAACTGGCAGCTAGAGGCAAAATCTGCCCCTCTTTAACAACGTCTCTGGTGTTTTTTAATGGAGACCAGGGGAGGGACAAACGTAGCGCTGGCAATTTGTAGTACAAAAATGGATGCTTAATTCATGTCTTGATTTTAATTAGGTGATTCACCGGATTTCTCCTGGATTGGAACAAAAGACTTATAAGCCAAGAGGAATTTTTGAAAAGAACCAGCAATACTGAATCCTGCTCACTTAGATCCTTTCTGCCACTGTTTCAAAAATAGTGTTTACTGGGGGGTGGGGGGGGGTCGTGACTATTTCCCCCACACTACTTCTCATACTTCAACCCTCATTTAAGCACCTCCTGCCTCTCCCTTAGGAACTGAAAATATCCCCACCCCCAGCCAAGGCCCCCACCAGCCCCGTCTCCAAGAAGAACCCTTTTGTAAGCAGGAACCGCTACAAAGCTGGCTGCCCGGGGCTGGCTGCCCTCCGTGCTAGCTCGCAGGCCGGCCTCGGTAGTTTCAGACTCGCGCATTATCTAAGCCGACGTATTGTTTACTTGCAATTTGGGACGGTCAAGGGAAGGAAGCCAAAGAAAACAGCCCTGGCCCAAATCGGCCCCCTCCTCCCTCTCCCCCCTCCTTGCCCGCGGCTCCCCGGCCGTCCCCTTACCTGCTTTTCCCCTATATTGCAATATTGCGAGAGGCGGCGGCGGCGAAAAGCGAGCGAAGCCGCTCGGCTTCCAAGGAAGGGGCGCCTTGGCTGGCGGAGCTGGAGGGAGAGGGGGATGTTCTCGCAGAAGCAGGAAAGGGGAGGAGGGGGCTAAGGGCTGCTTTTTTTTTTTTTTTCTTTTTTCTTTTTTTTTTTTTTTTTTTTAACGCGTTGCTCTGAGGCTGGGTTGGGGGGCCCCGCGTAAGTGGCAGGCGGCCGAGAGCAGGAGTGTCAGTCTCAGTCCTCGGCGTTCTCCTCCGCCTCCGGCTCCGGCTCCGCGAGAGCAGCTGCAGGAGCCCTCGGCCCGCGCGGCGCGGCTTCAGGCGCGACGCAGCGGCAGCAACTGCTGCAATCGCTGCTGCAAGTTTGGCAATGTGGCTTCACTTTGTATATTCCCCCGCCCGGCGGCCCCCGCCCCCGCCCGCGCGCCTCCCGCTCCTCCTCCTCCTCCACCGCCTTCCTCCCTCCCGCGCGCTCGCACGCTCGCTCGCTCGGGGCTGGCGGCGGCGGTCGCTCGGCCGAGCTTCCTGCCCCTCCGGCCGGGGAGCAGCCGCAGAAACAGCAGCCCCGGAGCGGCGGCGGCCGGTGCGGAGGCCGGGAGGCGGGCGCAGCCGGAGCCAGGGAGCTGCGGCCGGCCGGGGCCCGGCGCGCTGAAGCTTGCGCCGCTGCCCGGAGCTGCCGCCGGGGCTGCTACTGCGGCTGCCGCTGCCCCGCTCGGAGGAGGAGGCGGCGGCGGCGGCGCTGGCCTCTAGCCGGCTCGCTCGCTCCCTCCGCGGCGCTTACACATGTGTTACTGACAGAGCAAAATCCCAACTACTCCCCGGCTCTGCCGCCGACGTCAGCGACCCTCAGCCACTGGGCGGCCGGATTGTTCAGGCGGAATAATAAAACCTGCCAATCCGGGGAAGGACAAAGGGATGACTGAAACGAGACTCTGGGGGCGGGGGAGACAGGGAGGCGGCGGAGCGGGCCGGGGAAGGGGAAGGGAAGGGCCGGAATCAGGTGGGGAGCAGGGACCTGGGCGTCGGGGACCCCGGCGCGGCCCGGGCTCGCCAGCCGAGGCGCGGGGTGCCGCCGCTGCCCCCCCAGCTCGCGGGAGACCCTGGGGACCCGCCCCCGCCCGCCCCTAGGGGCTTGCCCTCCCCTAGCGCCGATGCGAGCCCGCGAGGAAACTTAACTTCACGTCTTTCTCCGAAATGGGTCTCTTCCTGTTTGGGAAGAAAAGTCTTCCCGAAATCTTGGGGTGGATTTCACACGCACGCAGAAGAGGTTCTGTTTTTGTTTTTTAATGCACGGTGTTCGAGATTAATGAGCCTTAGTGGAAGTTCAGTTAACAAGGGGAAGACAGAACAGTAGTTCTTAAATACTGTCCACTGAGCCCTCCTCTCCCCATGAGCCCGAGTACAAACCAAGAGCCTCGTAGGCATTTCGTGGATATTTGTCAATTGTTGGTGATAGAAGGATCACAGCCTTTACTTTGGAAGGTAAGGGAAACTTCAGGGAGGAAGTGTTGCCCTCTCTCTATCCACTCCACTGTGGAAAATGAGGCCTGATTTCCCATAGCCCGGAAAGCAAGAGAAGTAATTGCAACGTTCTCAATCTCGCAGCCTCTGGGGAGTAAGAAAGGTCACGTCTAGTATAAATTTAACTGTTGAGGAATGCTTTTAGGGTGCTAGCCTGAGTCTCTTTCCAGGGCCCAAGCTCAGCCTAGATGCTTGACTACCTCGTCATTCAACTTTATCTACTCTGCCAAATAGGTTTAATAAATCTCTGATCTGAGGCTAATATTAGGTCTGATTATTATTAGTAAGTTCCAGAGAGATTTTTCTGGTGGAAATTATCATGAAAGTGCAAAGCCCTTCTGCTAAGTATCATTAAGTAAAACCAGCCTTGTGGGACAAGTTTTCATATTGTATTACATGTATTACATACAGTACTGCCGGATTGAGGAAAGGGACCTGCAGAAGAATCCGGCTAGACAAGGCAGTTGTTAAACATCTATAGTTTTAGTGTCTGTTTGGGGGATTTCTGTCTTTCAAACCATCAAAATTAAGGCCGCAAAAGAAACAGTAATGATTGTCCGTAACATCAAGCAGAGGACATTTTAAATACCAATTAGAATAGTCATTTCTTTATATTTCTAGCACCTCAAAATTAAACGACTTACTTTTATTGATTGGTATTTAAAATTGCATTTTTATGATCAAGTCACTTTGTGCACGTATGAGAAACATTTTTTTAAATGGTTTAAAATATAATAGTAATTAAAATGCCCTGTACAGAAAACAGCTGCAGATGGGTGTGATTAAAGAAGGCCATCTTAAAAAGATGTAATGTTCCTTGAAGGTTAGTAAAGAAAACTCAATTAAACCAAATGAGGATAGGAACCCCATAAACAAATAATGCACACATTTTAATTCCCTGGTTCAGTTTCAATTTGTTAATAACTTATAATAATCAAAACGAGATGACACAAGATCTTAGTGGGCTACAATTAAGTTATGATTTGTCATGTACAAGTCAATTTCCTGCTGTGGCCCTTGATTTTCTCATCTACAAATGAAGGAATTAAGCCAAAGGGTCTTTATTTGTCATTTTTTCTAAAATGATTTTCTTAACTAGAACACATAATATACAGGTCTGTAATGAATTGTGGTACGTTAGGTATTTCCTGAAGTATGTACACTAAAAGGAGATCTTTATTTTAAAATGAAATGTTAGAATTTTAGTCCGACATCGGATATCACTGAGTGTTTGTCCAAAGCATCCACGTAGTTTTGTGGAAGGAAGGAAGGAAGGAGAAAAGCATGGATAAAACTTTGAATATAGAGCTCATGGCAAGAAGAGGCCTAGGGGGTGGTTTTAGTGTTTTGGCTCTAATTGTGTGTGGAGTGAGGTCTTCACACATGTCCTGGTAGATTGGAGTGGGTGGGAGTATGTTACCAGAGAGCTTTATTTACTGATGTTGTGGTTATAGAAATACAAAAGCGGTAATGGCTAACAGTCTCTCTTCTGAGGGGCAGGAAATAAATATATTCACTGTAATCAAAATTCAGGTGTACTTTAACCACAGCGCCACCTCTGGGTAGTCTTTATTTCTGCATTCCTTGCGTTTGGCAGTTCTCTCTCTTTGGAGTCCCAAGACCTGTGGTCTGAAAGTGCCTGCTTAAATGAGGTAGCAGTGTCAATCCTTTATTTCCACTGACGCTAAAATCACAGAAACTATGAACACACACAAGTTCATTATGGATAAGGGAAATGTGTTTTCAGGCATTCCTTAAACAAATATAAACCAGTGCTCAAAGTTATAATCCTGGTATACAATAAAATTGCCTAAGAGCAAAGTAATGATGGTATATTATGCCCAGTAGTTCAAGAAAACTCTGCTGACATCATGCATTCCTCATTTAGCCTACTCACCCACACTGAAAAATAAGAATACAGTGTTTTGGAAAAGAAAGAGAAACTCAAAGTGTTATTTTCTTGAATCTTAATTAAATACAGGAACCATACTGATCCTAGATCAAGCCCTCATTTCCCAGACTCACCCCAAAATGATGTGTCCCTACCTTCCCTTTTTCTCATTTAAGTCCTGCAATCATAATCATCTTTCCACTCCCCAAGTGACAATCCTCTAAGAATCTCCCATGGACAGCCAGAAGTTCCACACAGACCCACGTTCAGCCTTCCATGCCTAGAGAAGAGTCAGATTATTTGATAACCTCCCTAACAAAGTGCCCCCCACCTCCGATGTTTCTCAAGAAAAGATTTTAACCTTTTAAACCTTTTAAAGATTTTAACCTTTATTTTAACCTTTTAACCTTATTTCATTTTTATTATTATTTTATTTTTATTGTATTAAATTAAACTAAATTCTAATTTAAAATTAAAAATTTTTATTAAAATTAAAAATTAAATGTTTATTTTTATTATTATTTTTATTTTTAACCTTATTTTAATCTTTTAAAGTCAATGCAATACTGTGTTTGAAGGCAGCCTTTTTTTAGGAAGAATTTTTTTTTTTAATCTGCCTATCTTTATTGCCCCTATCCCCAGAAATCAAAAGGTTTGGCCAAGGTGAATCTGAAAAGCTTGAGTCTAGGACAATTCCAAAGTGTAAGAGGTGTGGAAAGAAGAAGAGACAACGGTAGTTACTGACAGATGTAACAGCAAAATCCAAGTGGGGAGGAATGGCAGTTAGGTCCCTGCCAGTGTTTTATGTGGTGATGCTGACTTGGAGGCACTGCATGGTAAGTAGAGGCAGAGTGACCACCGTCGCCTTAAGCACAAAGTTTTATGCAGAATTCAACTTACCTGAAAGACTGCATCTCAAAGAACCATAACTTGGCTTTAAATACTGATATTAATACTTCAAAGGTACCGACTGCTTTTTATTCATAGTTCTCAAAATTTCTTATAAATATCTCATTAGAAGTTTCATGTGATAAATTAATAGGTGGTTGCTGTCTTAGAACATGTCTTTCATTCTTTCTTCCTTCCTTCCTTCCTTCCTTCCTTTCTTTATTTCTTTAAAAAGCAATCCCAGTGTCTACATTTGGTAAATGTCCCACCAAATTATGTTAATCAGTACTTTGAAAGTTCTATCCTAACCTCTTTTTTGGTAGGGTAATGTCAAAGCATAGTGAAGAAGTTGATTTGATCACAATAAAATAATTAAAAGATCATGGGGAAAATGAAACGGCATTGATACTGCTGTGATTAGAAATATAATTTAAGATGTAGATTTTTGCTTTTAATTATTCTACTTGATTAGGACATTTGAAACTCCTGGAGATGATGGGAAAGGTGAACGAAGATGATGGGAAAGAAGAAAATAACATCTGTGATACATAATTTTGCCTGATACAGCAAGGCCACATTTATTAGAGTGGCAAGAAATTACCCACTTTCTTCATATATGTTTATTAGGGTAGGAACAGGACCTTAAAAATCCCCAAATCTGCCCCAGAACTACAACAAATCTTGACATATGAATAAGGGAAATGATGATTCCATAGTGATGATAGTGATGATATCACAGAAAAATTATTTGCCTCACTCACACTACCCACTCCTAGGACCAAATTCTGTCAACAATATTCATAACCCAAGTGATATTCTGCATATAGCATTGCTGATAAATTATCGGACTGTATATGTGAGTATATTATATGTTCTTTAGGGTCTTGTGAGTGGTCTAGAGGGTTGACAGGCTATGCTTATTAAAGTCGAATTAAATCTTACCATGGGTAAATTTAATTTCATAATAGTTACAAAAGAGAATATGTGGATGACTGGGCCATTTGTATATGTGTAGAGGTGGTTATTAGTAAGAATATGTATTAAAATTATAAATCCAGTAGAAAATAGCAATTTCATTCATCATTAATTACTGTTCCTCTCCAAGATGATGGAAATGAGCATTTATTGATAGAGAAACTAAGGCATTAAAACATAATTCATTCCCCCTTACATTCTCACTAATTGTTCTTGGTAAAAGAAAGGCTAATAATTCAGAAGCTTCAAGTGCCCCAAGCCACAGCTTCTTTGGTTAGTGTCACTTTTAATTATAGTATTGATATCATTAAGCTTTTTTCTCTATGTAGATTTGTTATAAAATATAATCTTTTAAAGTATAAACTGGTCTCCACTCACAAAATGTTGATGAAAACATGATAATGTTTATTCATCTAATTGTAATGAATGACCCTGGTGGAATTAGGCAAGTTCAATCCATAGCTGTCCATAGACTTGAAAAACAGATATTTCT